ATTAAGTTTCATACATCTAACAATAAACTATAAAACTTTCTTACAGTTATTGTTTTTATATATTAACAGAACAGGCCTGGTTAACTCAACTTTGGGGTTCATTGATTAAGTATTTGAACATAGAACATTTTCACTGGTACCCATGTAGATGTAAATTTACAACAAAAAAAACCCAACACTGAAAATAGCTCTCTATTTTCTAGTAAAATTAAAGGTAATTACTAATAGCGACATGAGAGAGACAAAGTTACATTAAATTGAAACGAAAATTAAAAGACTAGATATCTGGGTTAAGGCAGAAAACATAATTAACATAGTTTACATCATTATCCAGAATATGCTCAGCTACTTGAAAAATTAGAAATAATACTGTATACCAAAACTTGGTAACACATTTATCTATATAATTTTGAAAAAGGAAGCTCCAGCTGGGTATATATGTCAAGGGCAATGAACAAGAAAGATCTGGATTTAAGATTTAATTTATTACTCAACACCTTGAGAGCAAGTCGTTTAATACCTCTGAATCTCAGTTTCCTCATCCACAAATTGAGCATGGTAATCTATGCATCTCACTGGGCTTTTGTGAGGATTAAAAGCACATAAGCAAGGACAAGAGAGATGATAACTCAAGTGTCTGGGTACACACTTTGCAGACAGGAGGCCTGAGTTCATTCTCCAGTGCAATGCTGGAAGAGAGCCCCTCCAAGCACAGAGCCAGGACCCTCACCCAAAAACACCAGCAGGGGTAACCCAAAAACAAACTGACAAAACCAAATATGTATGTACATATATCATATGTGTGTAGCACATCACTATGCATATTAAGAAGTATTTTAATTTTAATTTTCTCAGTTATTCCTCACTCATTTATCTACCCACTATCATAGCTTCTCATATACAGCCCCGAGGACAACATCATCAATATCCAAAATTTGGTTCCAAACCTTTAAAAACATGCAAAGGATACATGCATGTGGAGAAGCATTTGTCTGCACAAATATCATTGGCACACAAACCCTGATCCCCTACTATGCAATACAAATTACACAAAAACATACTAGTGAAACCAATGTTATTCCAAAGGAGATTTGCAGGACTATAGAGAATTAGCAAATGAAAACTAGTATTTTAAAATAACAAATAAAGGCATCCTGTAGAACTACCTTAATTTGGGCCTCAGTTATCTTCATTGCACAAGGAAGGCACTGAGATGTGTGTTTCTGAGGGATATCTATCCTTCACATCCAATGCTTCTAATAGATTTAATGAAACCTATTTTTGAAACTATTAAATTACTCTGCTCTTTGCAAAACCACACAATCACCAACCATTGTGAATTGTGCTATAATATAAAGGCTGACTTACGACCACACAAACACACACTTAAACTCTACTCAATGAATACCTTTAATGGGAGAACAATTTTTTTCACCTATCTAAGTACGAACTCAAACTGGTCCAGATGGAAATTCAAGATGCTGACCGTTTGAATTTTCTGTCATTAAGAAAAATAATGAGATTTTTTTTTCCCACTGAATTTAGTAAGTTGATCTGTCCTTTAGTGTCAGATGAACACAGCTTAACTAACTTGTATCAATGTAAAGAAATGTCTTCCTTCTTCCCAAAATGACTCACATGTATGTAGTATGTTTTAATGGCACTCTTAATAGTTCAACATCAGTGTCTTGGTACGCTTCAAAGAATGCTGAACACCTAACTAAAACTAAATGGCTATAGTGGAGAAAAACTCAACTTCCAAATGAAAGGCAGGAAGATGTAGTATCTATAACAGAATGACAGTAAATACATGGAACAGATGTGACCAAGGCTGTTTTAGAGGATAGCTAATTTTAGTGGTCCGACTTTTAAAACTACTTTTTATATGCCAAATCGAGTATGTTTATCTTTTGCTCCACAAAGACTCAAAGTTAACCAAATAAACTATCTTTTATATTAGATTAAGCCCCTTTTCATCAACAAATTAAAGGCTTTAGGTGCATTTTTTTTCCTTCTGGTAACTTTGCCATCCAACTTTAATGAGAATAATTTTTCAATCATTCAGGCATGTGGATGTGTTTAGTTTGTTTTAAGATCAATGATATAATGGATATTAAATCCCTTTGTATAAGTGGCCATATAGGTTACACTATTTCTTAAAAATAATTCCAGAGCCCACCAATTCTCTCTGGTAAGGTCATCTAAGCTCTGAACCATCATGGCTGAATTGTTTTAGTACTCTCTGCTGAACACCTGCAAACATCAAACAAAAACTGCTGGTCCTTTCCTGGGTTGACAAAAGCCTTTCATGTGAAAAATGCTCCCTGGGAATGTCAGGCTGTAGCTCAGGTTACATTCCATTCTCCCTAGCAGCCTCACCATTTCTTAAGGTGGTAGGAAACACCATGTTTGTGGAATGAAAGATTAAAGAGAATATGGCCACACTTTATTTTCATTCTCACATTGCAAATCACGATGAAGCATCCTCTATTAATGGAATCAAATGCTATTGGGAATTTAAGTATGAAATATTACTATGCCTACTTTGAAAAAAATACAACTGGCTTATTCAAAAATCAAAAGTTTACTTATAGTTCAGCTTTTTTTTTTCTTTCTTCCTGGTCCAAGTTCCAAAGCTATCCATGAAAGTGACATACAAGCCCACTCAGGACAATGGCTAGCAACATGAAGCTATTTACAGCATTATTTTCTTATCCGAAGGTTTTCTTATTCATCCTTCTAGTGAAAGGGCAAACTACCGTTATTCTGATTTTCATTGTTTTATTCTTTAAAGTGAATTTCTCTTTGCTACTGAGTAAAACCATCAGCTATTTTCTTCTATGATAATCCTGTAATTCATACAAGTTTTGGATAGAGAAAAACCAAACACACCAACCTGTACCCTATAGAGTCACCATTATACTGCACTGAATGAATATTCTGCATATCAATTGAGCACTTAGAATAAAATCTCCACTACACTATTTACCCTTATAAGGAAACATTTGGGCCTGAAAACTACACCTCTAGAGTTCAATGTAAAGTTCAACAATCAGCAAGCAATCACAGCGTGCTCCTTAGAAATCGGTGTCTGTGAGGAAGATATCTCTGCTGTGTGCATGCACACACGTATGCATTGTCTTAGAAACTGTATTAAGTCTGAACACAGGATCACTTACCAAAATGCCTTAATATACATTCATACTTATCCAGGCAGTAGTCTCTGCAAATACTTAAACATCATAAGAAGGGCTTTATTTAAATGTGAACACACAGAAAACAGACCAGATGCATAGTTTTCTTTTTAAATGTAACACAATTTCATGCTTCTAAATCATCCTTCTTTATGAAACCATACCAAAACTGATACACTGAAGTCACTCTCTAAGTGGTACCTTTTTACAAAGTACAAAACAGGATTTAGCACTGACTTTGCAATCTCTGCCTTTCTAACAAAATCTACTTTTAAATTTAACTAAAGACACTATTAAAGTAAAAACATGCAGAAAATTACTATTAGAGATAAAATTACTATTTTGATAGTATCTAACAAAAAAATTTGACTACAAGAGACACTTCTATTCATCTGAACTACAAAGAATACAATACAGAAATTGGAAAGATACACCACTAATACAACCAAAAATATGAGGACCTAAACAGAAACTATAATAAGAGTTTATTAAACACAAATCTATGGTGAACAGTACTTTTTGTCAAAGTGGAACTCCAAATATAAAAGAGGAAACATAACTCTGGGAGGCATCCCATACTTTAAAAATCAAATTATAGAAACAAAAATTCCCTAGATTTATGGAGGCCATAAAAAGAAGTAACCAATTTAGAAATGAACAACTTTAGAAAGTCATTAATTTTATTTGAAAAAACATACCAATTATACAAATCAGATGAACAGATTTTTCATTCCTATACCACTCAATGAAAATTAAAAGATGTGAAATTATATTCAATATTTAACAGACAATTCCACTGGCATCTCACAGCTTAGAGATGCCAACATTTACCAGTCTGACTTAAGAATAGTACTCTGTCTAATGCACTGTTACAGATCATTGCCAAAACTCCTAAGATCCTGCAGCTGTTTAACAAGCAAATATGGATTTAAGCCTTGGATTTAAAGAATATCAGGCAATAATCATATATGGTCTCTTTCTGACTTGAAAGTCACTGGACAAATAAAAACACATCTTAAATGAATATTATATTTCCAATTTCCACTTTTAGTAAAAGCCCTTCAGAGAATCCCTTAAAACTCCCCTTAGATGCTAAATAACCACTGCGAACAGAATCCTTTGTGAATAGTGCTCTTTTTAAAGCATCACCCAAGCATTTTTCATTTAGGAAATGTAAAAGTCCTTCCAAATGTGCAACTTAAAATAAAACCAAAAATTCATTGCACAAGTAAATGATTAAAGAAAGGAAACAACTAAAGCATCAAAAAGGATATTTTAAATACAAATGAATTCATCATATTAGGCTCTGAGATTAGCAAGTAGCTATCTATTTACAGCTACGGTTTACTACGCAGCATTCATCTGCAAAATTAAGTGCTCATTTCTTTAACAGGGTTAATTATACATAGTGCCTAATAATTAATATTATTTACAAGAGATTTTCTCTTTTTATGAAAGTTCTATTTTTCCCCCTCTATTTTCAAACAGGGAACATTAATTTATTCCCCTATGTTAACACTGGCCTTATCTTGACATATTTGATTACAAATGTATTACAAAATTGTTTTCAAATTAAATGACAAAATCCTGAGACCGTTTCCTTGATTTAAAAAGAGCCATTTCTAATTTTACATACGATAACATTTTGTGTAAGTTATGCCACTGATGCATAATGAAATAACCGTATCGTTACAGGCTAAAATTTCAATGACTTTTTCAGAACACTTCAACAGAGCCAAAAACATACAATGAGTGAATAAACAGCTAAGAACATTTAACTACACACTCAGAAAAGAATTTACATACTTGAGCCAGTAAAATGTCCACTCGCCAAAGAAGTTGGTCCATTTTTCCCACTGCTCACAGGAGGTGAAAACATCTAAAAGAAACAAAGAAATATTACTGTTGAAAAGAAGACATTTGTGCCTTGAGTTTGTCAAAGAGCAATCTTAGTCTTACCAAATAACTTAAGAGTTTATGCTAAGGGCACATTTTAGCAAAATACATCACCATCCAACTTAAAACTAAAACAAGCACAGTACCAGCTGCCCCCCCCCCACCTCCCCCCTCCATTACCACTTTGTTCTTTTTCCTCAAGTTCATTAGATTGCCAGTACTGGGCAGTCTTAGTACACTTGAAACAAGCACAGTCCCTATAATGTTATCAAGATTCAGGTTGGAGGGTAGCAGCCTCTCTAGAAAACTCTAGTTTTACAAAGGAGAAGGAAAAAAAAAAGTTGTTTGTTTTATAGTGAAAACCTTGGCCATAAACGTGGCAATGTCCATTTCCATCCTGTATTTAAGATCTGCCTGTCATATGTGAACCCAAATGAAAAGAAAAATGCCACCTGCACTAAATTCTCATTTCGTCTCTAATATGAGCAATCTGAAGCGACTCTTTCTCTCTTCCTCTCTCTCTCTCACTCTCTCTCACTCCCTCTCTCTCTCTCTCTCTCACTCCCTCTCTCTCCAGCATTTATTTCGACCCTAATTGGTTTCCCTCTCCTTCGACGTATCTAGTGGCTAGATAATGCGCACCTTCCCTGAGTCAGAGCCTGCTAAAAGCAAAGAAACGAATGGAGAAAAGTACAGCAAGCAGAGAGGGGACTACAAAGCTGCCTAGAGCTACGTTTCCTGGCAAAACTTCCGAAAGCCATTTCTCCAAAAGAAGGGCCAGAAGAGCAGCAGCGGCAGCAGCAGCAGCCAGCGGCAGCAGGAGCAGCAATAGCAGCAGGAGCAGCAGCAGCAGCAGCAGCAGCAGCAGCAGCAGCAAAGAGCCCTACTTAGAAGGCGGTTTGGATTGTATTTGTTTCGTGGATTTATTTTTTAAATTTTGCTTTGCAAATGCATCTTGACACCAAACTCATTTGGTTTTCTAAATGAATTAAATACACCCCTCCCCCCCCCACACACACACCCCAGACATGTTTAGGACTTTGGTTTGGGGAAGGGAAGCAGAGGGATGGAGAAGGACCAAGTACAGCCCTAAAACTCCACAAGTGTGTAAGTTCCGCTTTGTGCTGGTCTCAAGAGGATGAAATTGACAAACACGGTCCCCGGGAAGGTTCCAAAGTGCGTGTGCTCCGCAGAATTCCAGGGAAGGATGCAACTAAGGGAAACTCGAGGTCCGAATCCAAAACATGGGGACTTGAAAACTTCTGAGACTACTGAGTCTCTTTTCTCTTTCCACTTTCATGAAAAGATAAATAAAATGAGTTACTGCACTAGTAATGCTGTCAGAGTTCAGATATGGCCAAGTTTTAGGGGCAGTTTAGAGTTTCAGGGGTGTCTGTTTTCTCTTTCCAGGGGCGTGAGAGTCCATTACTTGGGGGTGTTTAGTCTTAGGAAGGGATTTCAACTCTGGGAAAAAGCCTCAATCTCTCATCAGACTCTACAATTGTAGTTAAAAACTTCTCAAAAAGACCTGCAGATTTACCAGGAATTCAGTCAATTAAAAATTATTCCTGTCCTTTAGATTACTCTCGGTTTCTAGCTGAAGTGTTTGGGGTTGGGGGGGGAGTTTATTTTTATTTTTCCACAGCTGTTGTTAGTTTCCACCGTTCTTTCTTACCGCACTGAAATCCAGTAAATCACTCAGTTCTTTGTCCGTCCCTAAGGCAGCCATTCGCTGTTGGTGATGCATTTTAGCAAAATCACACAAACCTAGAAACATGGAAATAACCGCAATCAGAAAATCCAGTCCCAATCCTTGGAGAAAACACAATCGGATTTTTGGAGACTGGGGGGGTTGGGGATGGGAATGTGGGGGCGGGTGGGATTAAGGTGAAGAGGAGGGGGAAATGGGAGAGTTGTTTTGTTTTGTTTTAAGATGGAATAGGCAGCAATAGCAAAAAAAAAAAAGAATCATATATATATTTAGCGATATTGATACTGTATCTCCAAAGAGACGATCAAAACTGGTAACATCCACTATAAAAGCAAATCCGGAAAGGGGGTGGGGGTGGGGGTGGGTAGAGCCGCTCTTCAGCGCATCATTTTATGCAACAGGAGGTAGAGCGAGAAATGAATGGATCACAGAGAAAAGAGAAACTACTCAGAACGATCCGGTCTCAACTTTCCCCCCCACCCTCCACCCCACCCCCCACACACACACTCACACACTCACACTCACACACACACATGCGCGCTCGCACACACACACACACACACACAACCCCCCATTCCCTCTGCATTTCAAAGTAGCTCTAAAGAAATTAAAGATGAGCGTCTCCAGAGTGAAAACACAACCCAAGGGGGGGAGGGGGGAGGAGGAGGGGAGGGGACGGGGGGGGGGGGCGGAGAGGTGGGGGGGGGACCAGGTCGGTGAAAGGAGAAGCGACGGAGTTGGATGGGGAGGTGGTGGTGGTGTTGGGGGGGGGGGGTGAGAGGGATGGGGGAGGGGGGTCCTGGAATGGTCCAGCACCCTAAATTTGTGAAAGAAAAGGCTCGTGAAAAATTAAAAGTCAGGCCCTTGGCAGCGAAGTCCGCGGTGCCTCCAAGTGGCATTTGCCGGGGGAGGGTGGGCGGGAGGCGGGGGGGGTGGGGTGGGGAGGGGGGAGGAAGATGAGGGGGGAGGGAAGAGGTGCGGGAGGGGAAGGGGTGTCTGCGCGCGGAGGCGCGGGAGGCGCGGAGCCCCGAGCCCGCAGCGGCCCCGCCGAAGCCGCCGGCGCCGGTACCTACCGCCCGCGCGCGAGAAGGGGCTCCCGGTGCAGCGCCGGCGCCCAGGCGGCGTTCATGTCTAACCACTGCCTCCACCACCACCACCTCCTCCTCCTCCTCCTCCTCCTCCTCCTCCTCTTCCACCACCTCCTCCTCCTCCTCCACCTCCTCCTCCTCCTCTTCTTCCTCCTCCTCCTCCTCCTCCTCCTCTTCTTCCTCCTCTTCCTCCTCTTCCTCCTCTTCCTCCTCCTCGTCCTCCTCCTCCTCCTCCTCCTCCTCCTCCTCCTCCTCCTCCTCCTCCTCCTCCTCCTCCAGCGCCCGCTCCGGCTCCTTCGCCGCCGCCGCCGCCGCCACTACCGATCCACAGACACACAGCCAAGATCCCTGACTCTTAACACCAACTCTCTTCTCCGGGGAGGGGAGGGGACGAGAGGGAAGGGGGGAGGGGGAAACACGCCGAGCCGCACGGAATTGCAAGTTCAGCAAAGAAATGGGTGGGGGGGACTCCGGCGCGGGGGGGCGCGGGTGTGGAGGGGGGCGAGACGCGGCTCACTCGGGTCGGGTCGGGCCGCCCACGCCTCCAACAACCAACCCCCCCCCCCCGACACCCAACCACCACCACCACCATCCCGACCCACCCCGAGAAATAAAATCTCAACATCTCCCCCGCCTCGCAAAAAAGAAAATCATAATAAAAATAATAACAGACGAAAATTCATCGAACACCTCATTTTCCCCCTTAGATCGTTAATTGCCATCTCCAAACTGAACAGTTCAGTGGTGGCCCGTTTCACATCCACCGGAGGCACTTTGAAATTAATTCGAGTTTACATCCCCTCACTTCTTTTCTTTTTCTGACTCTCGTTCCCTCTCACTCACACATCCACACACGGCAAAGCAAGTTTATACTAGGCTGCAAATACACGTGATGCAAAAAGACTTTGCCAAGAGGAACAATATTTTTCTTTTCCATATATAAACCAAGCCACATTTTCTTGGGTATATTTTCATTTCGGTAGTTTTGCGCTGGGGGGTGAAACCTGAATTGCATACTTTCCTTCCCCTCCCCTTTAAGTCACAGTATAGTATAGCTGCAAACTTCGCCAAAAAAAAAAAAAGGCAATTTTTGAGGGTGGATGTTGTTTTGTTTTTACACTTGAGTTCCTAGGCACGCTAAGTCCTTGTTCTCCAGCATTTTAAGTTTTTAATTCAACATTTACCATTACAGGCCCTGCATACCCTTAAACCGTACTTTTTCACATCACTTTTTCGGATATAAATTAAGCTTCGTAATTCTATTTTTCGCAATAGCAAGCGTGCTTTATCCAGTATATGCAACATACGCTATTTTAACGTGTGTTAAAATAAACATCTACACGCGCTGTTATTGCTAGATGTGCGAGTACATACACAAATTGCATGCACACACTTTTTTCCCACTGGCAATTACTTAATAGTTGTTCCTTTTGTTTTAATAAAACACTGGGTTCAACATTTTAAAAATTAAATTCAATTACAAACAGTTTACTCTGACAGCAAATTGTAACGTTACCTTAAATGGCCACAAATATGTTCACAATATTCCAAGGAAAGTGACTTTAAAAAGAGAGACAAAAATCTTCTGCAAGTACTTAGTATCTCACATGTGTGTCCCCCAAAAAAGTATTTTAACTGGTACTCAGTTCTGCTCCAGGGATATCCACAGAATACAAGATTATGCACCTGGCTCTGGTTTTTGCATTTTCCACCATAAAATTGCGATAAAATCCCCTCCCCCAAAAAATAAATCATTAAAAAAAAATCCAACAACTTTTTCTCATTGTTTATCAAAAAAAAATCAATACAGGATAGTTATAATTTGTCCTCAAACAAATCTTGTTGATGGGCTTTTTTTTTTCTTCTCCTCTTACAAAGTCTTAAACTTGTTCCAAGTTTAGAGGTGTCTCATCATCATCATCCTCCTCCTCATCATCATCACCATTGACTCCCCCGTGGAGTCACATTGATAATAATAGGTTTCCCTGAAAGATACATTGTAATCCATTCACATCCGGGCACTGCGGGCTTATAAAGAGAAGGCGCTGCGGCCGCGGCTGCTCCTCCAGACAATGACTGGGGAGGGGCGGGGCGGGAGCGGGAGACCATAGAGTGGTAAACAGTGCGCGTAGAGAGGCGCCTAAAATGGCGGCGCGTGCCGGCCACGCCTCCTCCGGGCCCGAGGGCGGGTGCCGGGGTTGGCGCGCGAGTCGCGCGTGGGCCGGGACGCGGGAGCTCCCGAGGCGGCCGTCCCCTTCCTGGCCGGTCGTCGCGCCCGGTTCCTCGAGCGCTCCTGTGCGTGGACTCCGAGGGGCAGCGTGGCAGTCGAGACTTGATGCTGCCCCGGGCAGCGGCGGGGGGCGCGTGCCCCGGGCCCGCCCGCCTGTCCCCCCTGCGTGCGCATCGGCGGAGGCCGCGCGGGGCCTGGGCCAGCACCGGCCGGGGTCCCCGTCTCTCCCACGGTGGGGACCCCCTTTTTCCTAGCGGGGTCCGAGGGCGACCTGGACCCAGAGTGGACCCCACCAAGTTGCCCCCGAACTTGATTGAAGAAGAATGTGGGGCCGCCCCACTCCCAGGGCCCCTTCCTCATCACTTTTTTGGGGGGATCCCACTGGAACCAAGGGGACTTCCAAGGCCCCGACGCTTTTTGCAGTTCATTGAGTATTTTTGCAAGACGGGTTGGAGCCATGGCCACCGCCAGCCACCTCCCCTATAAGCTGCGCCAAGAGCTGCCCCTCTGTTACTCGCCCTTGCGGGTGATTGATTGACCAGCCTTCGTGGCAACCCAAAGATGCAACTGGGGGGGGGGGGGAAATTCCAGAACTCAGTAATTCCACATTTTGCCCACCCCTGTGATGGCATCTCGCAGTCCTGCAGCAGATGGGATGATGTGGCGGGTCCCTCCAGCCAGAGATGCTGTGCTGTAGACGCTAGGCACCCAAAGGGAGTTAGTTGATGTCACCAAGGTGGGCAGGAGCTCAGTGAAGCCTGGAGATTCTTGGGTTCCAGTAACCCTTATTTTCCCGAGGCCGCAGAATGCAAGAGTAGTGATGCTTGGGCCTGAGAGTTTAAGGGACTTGCACACAAACTACCGGATTAGATCCCTGCCATTACTTACTGTTCCCCCTGACTAACAACAGTCCTTACCCAACCTTTCCCCCACCAAAAGGGATAAAAGAGTATCAGCGCTGACAATACATTATTGTCCTGCTTAGGACTCAACAGTATGTTGTCTCATTCGTCATACCCAACCCCCACCCTTTCTCGTTGGGTGTCTCCTAGGCCTTTTCTCATCCCTGATTCTCAAGGCGGGTGGGTACAGTCCCCTACGATGCTTTGAGAGACATTCTAGATAATTTTTAGAGGCGCGTGTAGTTTAACCTGGTCTGTCATTAGTTCTTGCTGCTGATCATCTTTTAGTATGTGTTAAACTCCTCGAGAGATGTGTCATGTAGAAAATCGAGCTGCATTTATAAATAGTGTTAAAAGGTCCCATAATGCTGCAGTTTCAGACATTCACCAGCGGTCTTAGAAACTATTCCCCTGTAGAAAGGAGGGGACTAGGTATTTTCTCTAGTCTGCATTCTGGTCTGTGAGATGCAGATAACAATGCCCATTTTATGAATTTCCTAAAAAATAAGCATGGAGCCTCAGCTTAAGAAGTCTTACCCTTTATTGGGGTGGGGGTGGTGGGAGGGATGCTGGGAACATTGGTGGGGGAGAATGGGCACTGGTGGAAGGATAGGTAAATGATTATTGTATGACTGTAATGCAAACAGGAAAGTTCATAAGTTTGTAACTACCCCACGGTAACTCACTAATAAAAGGAAAAAAAATAAATCTTATCCTTTATCAAGGACAAGGTCTTGTGTACTTTAGTGATGGTGAGGTGCAGTAAGGACACATCAGGACAATGCACAGTAACACTATTATCAGCATGTTGGCTACAGCAATAATAATTTTTTTTTAAAAAAGAAATATTCCTTCTCCATTGCTAATTCCTCACTGAATGTACTGATAGCTCTGTTTTAGCCAAGGGCTTTTGGATGAAGATTTCTGCACCCTAAAAGAATACCTTTTAGTTTAACCCAGAAAGAAACGTAAAAACATAGGTAATAAGTACTATGATACATTTGTATTGAGGGTGTTTTTTTTTTAATGCCAAGCACTATTCTAAGGAATGCTCAAATAATGGATGTTTTTAATTCTAAGAATGACGCTATAGGATACATGTTAGTACTGTTATTTTACATAAAGGGAGTCAGAAAACATAACTTTTAGTAACTAGACGGAGGGCAGCTTAGTAAGTGGTGTAAACTTGTCTAAATTACAGAACTTCAGTGAGAGAGCCCACCATTCAGGCTCTGTGCCACCAGAGTCAAAATTCACCACATTCCTATACCAGCCATCTGGCAGCAAGAACTGACTAACCCCTATTTTCTGATGCACTATAGTGGCAGTAACAAAGTTCAAACCAATTTTTAAGATCTGGCTCTGCAATCAAGAATTACCCTTGGCGGTGCTCAGGTGACCTTATGGGATGCTGGGAATCGAACCTGGGTCAGCCACATGCAAGGCAAATGCCCTACCCACTGTGCTATCGCTCCAGTCCCAAGATCTTTTCTTTTTATCTGAGTTTTTGAAGAACGAGGGTTTATGTGTTGTTTCTTCTCTTTTCACACATTGTGAAGTTTTCTGTTTCCTTCCATTGTTCTCATCTTAAAATGACATTTTGCATTCAGACTCTCTTTGTGCTGCACTATCAAGAGCATTCTCTCTGATTCCCAGAGTAAACCTCTTTAGGTTCTACTGAGATGATGTAATAAAAACGATCACAAGCATTTGCTACGGTGAAATATTCCACCTCCTCTACCTCTAATCATCTCTATGACCTAAGGATTGATGTCAGTGTCTTTTACTGTAATACCAGACACAGTAACAACAAAGTCTCCAATGGAGACGTTACTGGGCCCGCTCGAGCAAATCGACTGTAATACACAGATGCTAAATTAGACAATCATGTAATATTCCATCTACCTCCTAAATTTTAAGAATTCCCTTTACCCTGAATTTCAAAATAAAGAAATCAATGATAGGATCGTGTCTAGGATATAAATGCGCCAGATTGGAAGCGAGTCCACGTGCACATGCCCTGCAGTCTAAAAGATAGTTTTCTTCTTACTTCGTATCAGGGACTAATATGCATTGTTCTTGTTTCCAAAAGTATCAGGAGAACAAACATACTTATGAAGACTGAAAGTATATTAGGAAAGAAGACAGTGAAATTCTATGAACCATATAAAAAAGGCCTAGCGTAGCTGATATATTTGAAGGTTCCTTTTTCATGTGAGACCATTTCCCTAGAAATTTATCCATAGATCCTATTATACCAGTAAAATTTAGTGTGGGTGGCATATGACTCCTTGAGGCTCTAGCCCACCAAATCCAGCTGATTGGATTACAGGAACTAAGGAGGAAGAGGTCGACAATTGTCACTGGTGAGTGAGAGATCTGATATATTGGAATCCTCTGGAGAGAGCTGGTGCAGAATACCAAGCCAAAGGAGAATCATGAAGACAAGGGAACAAGACCCAGGAATAAGTAGAAGAACTTGCTCTTCAAATGAGAGAATATCTTCTTTAAATGTCTGAGGAAAGCAGATAATCTACTTCTGTGGGTATTTTCCAAATTGTTAGGAGCACAGCTTTGTTTCCTGTACATTGTGTCCCTGATTCCAGCAGCACTGCCTTTCCCCAACTGAGTTTACCTGAGTGCTTTGATGGTTCTTCTAATTAAGGAATTTAGCTAGAAAAAAAAAATACACCTTAACATCTGTACCTGTATGTTCATTGCAGCACTGCTCACAATAGGCAGAATCTGGAAACAACCCAAGTGCCTAGAACAGAAGACTAGTTAAAGAAACTTTGTTACATCTACACAATGGAATACTATGCAGCTGTTAGGAAAGATGAAGTCATGAAGTGTGCTTCTAAGTGGACGGTCATGGAGAGTATCATGCTAAGTGAAATGAGTCTGAAATACAGGGACAGTCATCGAATGACTGCACTCATTTGTGGAATATAAAATATCATAATATGAGATTAACACCCAAGAACTGTAGAGACAGGGCCAGGAAGATTGTTCCCAGTTAGAAGCCTGCCTTATGAGCTGGGGGAGGAAATAGCTGGGATAGAAAAGGGATCGCTAAGTTAATGATGGTTGGAGGGACAGCTCAGGATGGGAAATGTGTGCTGAAAGTAGATAAAGGACCAAACATGATGGGTTCTCAGTATCTGTATTGCAAACCATAATGTTCATAAGCAAAGAGAGAGAGAAAGAAGGAAACTGCCTGCCATAGAGGCAGGAGGATGGGATGGGATGGGGGAAGGGGGGAAGGGATACTGGGGACATTGGTGGTGGAAAATGTAAACTGGAGGGATGGGTGTTTGATCATTGTATGACTGAAACTCAAACATGAAAGTTTTTTAAGTGTAGCTCATGGTGACTCAATAAAATAAAAAGAAAGTGCTTTAGATTTTAGTATTTCAAAACCACCATAACATGGGGGGGGGGGGGGAGGAAAGTGACTTCTAGTTTATGAGTAAACTCTCTTTCTAGTAGAGATTCTAGACAAATGTGACGTAAATGGTCAGAAAAGCATAAGTATCATTTTCTTTTTCTAATGTCTGATGACATGGGAAAGTTTCTCACCTTGTCAAATGTACCCTCAAAATTGACTTATCTTCAATACTTTGGCTCATTAAAATCAAATGAAATTACAGAAAGTCTTCAAGATGACACATTGCTATGAAATATAAAGCGTTATTGTATAAACTAGTGGATGCTTAAAAATGGCACTTTTAATATCAGAGCGAGAACAAACAGCTTTTTTTGAACTAGACAGCCTCTAGCATATTAATAATTGTGTATTAACATAATAATTAACAAACACTTTTTTCCTGTTGAAGATAAGATGAAGTAGATTGTCCAGGTTCATGTGGCCAGTGAGTAGAAACAATCCTT